TTCCAAATATACTGATCGTGTTGATGCAAGCCATCATGAACTTGCCAAAAAACTTAAAACTTCAGAACTTTTTAAGTCCATTAAATTCAACGTAGTATCAGCATTGACCGCTAGTTTTGAACTTGAAGATTTTGTATACATCTAAATGTAGATTGATTGTTTCAATGTCGCACTTGTGCCATTCAATACACTTTAATTTGCTTTAATTCTGTTTAATGCTTCTAAAGCTGTATTTGATTTTAATTAAGTAGTATTTTATTGTACACGACCCTAAAAGCTTTTAGCTTTCATACATATCGTGTATAAATAAAGATAACCAAACGTAAACCTGCATGCTTACTTAAATTGCATAAATGTAATTCTATAGCTTTCAATATCCTGTAAATGAAATAAAATCCTCATCATGTGAAATTAATTCTTGTAACCATTACCTCTTAGCTTCACACTTTTATATATCTCAAAAGTTCAGGAAATGTTCAATAGAATACAGAGGAAATATCTACTATGTACAGCAACTCTTATATTCCATAAAGGAATACTTATCTTTGGGTGCTTGTTAAAAAGATTGATAAGTGCAAAAACAGAGCTAAGTGTCTGAGTAAAGACAAAAGGATTTGATGTTCGTAAATTTAATTGCTTTGTAACATTTATCGAAACGTCATGGACAAATATTGGAGTTTCCACTTGGGATGTGAATGCACAAACTTGTAGCTTCATTCAATTTAATCTCAGACTATGGTTGAAACCCTTGGTCTCTCAATTGTTGGTTTCACCTTCCTTTCCATTGTTGTTACCTATAGACAGATCATCTGATAAGGTGCGGAAAAAAACGGAAAATTATGCGGAAATTTCTAAAACTTAATAAAGTTGTTCTCTTGGCTTTTTCCAACGTTTAAAATACACATTAACGTATTACCGAGAATTTTAGTCCTTTATGACATGTTTGACCTTTTGCTGCCATTCGTGGACAGGTATGTCTTCGTTCAAAGTAGTTTTTTCATAGTTTTCGTTGTCGAGTTTATCCGAAGCTTAGTAACCAGCCATTAAATCGGACGAGGAAAACTGGACACCAGACGTCCCAAAATGTTCTGGGATGAATGGAACGCCTGGCGGTTTAAAATTGTTCACGAACGAAATGCGTATTTTTGTCGCTGTTTTGGGTGAATAACTTGTTCAAAATTATCAATATTTTCGCTATTTTTGCTTCTGACGATGGTAAGCAGTTGCTTTCTCGCTTATATGTAGAATTTTTCCAGTTTTATGCGGAAAAATGCCCCAAGGATGCGCAGGATGCGGAAGTAGGCGAATTATGCGGATCCACAGCACCGCATCCTGTCAGATGCCCTGTACAGAACTTTGCATTAATCAGTTTTTTTTAACACCCAATGGATTATTATATTTTAGTTGTGTGAAATTAAGTCCCTTCAAATAAATGTTTTTTGTGTGTTTTGCCTATTATAATCTCTCACAATCTACAGGGTCACGTACTGGTTTTGAGCTGGTTTTTTTTTTTTTTTCAACAAAACTGAGAAACTAAGTCTTTCAATTGCATTTATAGCCATAAGAAACATTTACTAACACAGACCTCCATGGTTCATAGTTCAATCATTTGGCCTTCAATTTGTTAGTTCAAAGTCACGGTTTATGAAATCACTGACACTTTACGTGATGAAATAAGGAGTGAGCACTGGGCAGATTGACAGGCTGTGAAGACATAAATTGCCTAGCTGCTTTGAAGAGGTTAACCAAAAGAACAGACTTTCAGTTACTACACCAGATTTTCCTTGTGTATTCTACAAATAAACAAAGATTTCCTACTTCACCATCAAAGAAGAATCACAAGATAAAGGTAATTGGCCCCACCATACAACACAAGAATTATAGTCCCTTCACAAATGTTCAGTGTTCAATTTGGAATTTTTGCAAAAGATCAATATTGGTAGGCAATTCTTTTCACTGATGCTATAAAATGTTTGTACTATTCAAGAAGATGAGTTTTTTTCTCAAAATGTTTTTTGTACCCGAATATATTTGTGACATATTTTACAAGCAATCCAAGAATCATAATTTACATAATAATGATTTCCCAATACTAGATTTAACACTGTTAACTATGGTAAACATAGTATTAGACATTTTGGTCCCTATCTCTGGGGCAAAATGGACAAAGACCTGCAGAATAAGACAAGCCTCCATGATTTTAAAAGAGCCTAGGTGAAAATCCTTTTCAGGCTCCTGTCCAAGATCTTGATAGGATCCTTACCAGAATCCTACCTGAAATCCTATTCAGGATCTTGTACAAGATCCTGTAGGATCCTGTTTTGATGAAACAGAATCCTGTACAAGATCCTAAAGATTGTATAGGATCCTGCATAAGATCCTATAAGCAATAACCACAGGGCTGAGTCTGAGTGAGAGTAATAATTAAAATTCAAGACGGGAGTCAAAGGTTTGGGTAAAATAAAATTGGTTTATTACCACACAGATGTCTGAGGCAGTTTCATGGTAAGGATTAATTTGTTGTTCATTCAGGGTTATATCTTTAGGATTACTTTATTTACTTGTTTTAAGGTTAGAGTTGATTCACTTACATGTTTATTTATGATTTAATTTACTTTTCAAGTTGTTTAATCACTGTGCATTTAGATCTTATTGGAGTACTGAGTCAGTCGAATTTATGTATGAAACGGTAGTGTAAATGCAATCCTTGTGGGAGAGTTTTAGTGGTTACACAAGACATGCTTAGTAGTGTTGATTAAACTTTGCGAATGTGCATTTGTAGTGTATGATAAAAACATGGTGTAATAGTCACAAAAAATGCCAAATATAATTAATAATAGGAACTTTATTTATAACAAATCTACTCCACTAGAATACACAGCAAATAATATAAATTACAATTAAGGTTAATAAAAAAACAAACAAAAACTTTACTTAAAAATTTATCTGCTGTGACTTTAGTCTTTAATGTTCATGTTGTCGGATTTTTGTAATTTCTCCTTCCATTT